GCTTGGGTCACATGCCCATCTCTAGAAGCTTCTGCCCAAGGGAATGGAACCCAGACATTGACCAGCCTGGATCATGTTCCCTTATCCCCAGTAGAGGAAGTACTTGCCTCCCAGACCCTATTCTGGAAGCAACAGCCACTTCCCACTTTCTTCCTTGCTGAGAGTAGCCTGATTTCCTGGACATAGCATGTGACCTGTGAGTCAGGAGGGGGAGGAAACCCAGTCCCAAGTACTGGCTCTTAATTGGTTTAAAGTTTGAGTTTAAACCAATCATATATATTTCCCTTGGCCATTGATTGGTTTAGTCATCGACATAGGATGCACTCTTAGCCAATGAGATTTGAGAGGAGGTCTGCTGGGGCTTTCTGGGAATGCTTGCCTCATTATTAGTTTGGAATAATTCTAGATTTATAGAAAAGTTGCAGACAGTACAGAATGTTCTATATACACTTCACCCAACATCTTACATCACCATGGTACATTGGTCGAAACTGAGAAATTAAGTTGTTATGTGCCTTTGAGTCGGACCCAACTCAGCGACCCCTCCTTGGGTTTCCGAGGCAGTATCACTACAGAAGTAGATTGCCCCATCTTCCTTCCGAAGAGTGGCTGGTGGGTTTGAACCGCCAGCCTTCTGGTTAGCAGTCAAGTGCCTTAGGCACTATACTACCAGAGCTCTGAGAAATTAACATTAGTAAAATACTATTCATGCAGATTTCACCAAGATGATTTAAATCACAGAACTAGCCTGCCATCGAAGCGCCCTAGCTCCAGACTTCGTGTTCTATGGAAGCCATGTTCCTGCATAGTTAAGCGACTTCTGTGCAGTTTTGTTACTTGCAGCTGAAAACCCCCCTGATACATAAGCCCCCGTTGCGGAGGCACCTGACAACAGCATCTCAAAAGAGAGACTTAGACACACCCTCCACTACTCCTCATTGAGGGAAGACCCTCAGCAAGATGGATCATAGCAACCCTCACTGAGTTTCCAAGGTGGTAAACTTTATGGAAGTGGAGTGCCCCTTCTTCGTCTGGTGGGTTTAGAACCACCAGCCTTCTGGTTACCAGTCAATGCTTAAGCACTACGCCATCAGAGCTGCTTACGGACTGACACAGTGGCTGCAGAACTGAGCTACAGCATAGCAACAATGGTGAGAATGGCAGGGACCAGACGGTATTCCCTTGTGTTGTGCACGGAGTGGACATAAGTCGAAACTGATGCGATGGGACCAACAATAGCAACACACTAATCCTGTCTGAACGAAACAAAGACAACCCATTCTCACATGGGATTATACCCATGTTCACAGATGGCAGGATGTGTATTTTGTATTTTGGGGGGACACACATCAATCTATAAGGTGCACTTTTCCAATGTGCCTGTGCGGCTGCAGGCTGGCTCCCTCCCTGGCCCAGCCCCCACAACCTTGATCATCTGTTCTCGCCTCCCCGCCTCCCCAGACCTGGTCACTTGTCCCCTTCTTCAATGACAGGCCCCAGTCCCCATTTGGGGAGCCACCTCTCCCCTCTACATGCAGCCTGGGTGGGCCCCAGTCCCTTTCTTTTTTACTCATGAGCCCTCCAGGGCTTGAAGCTTAACTCTTTTCTTTTTTTCTTCTTCTTCTTTTTTTTTTTTTTTTTGAACTGTTTGTTTTGAAATAATTTTAGGCTCCAGAAAGTAAAGAGCATTTTAAGAGCTTAGAGTTATTTGAGGCCTGAAGGAAAAAAAATTACATACTGCCTCCAAAATACTCCAGCTGCTAAACTGAAATTCACAAATGTTTACTGTGTTCAAACTTAGTGACATATTAAGTCCAGTAGTTATAAAATGTATCACATTTGAAAACAATTGTAGGATGGAGTTTCTTGCTTCATAATTGTTCCCAAGTGTTCCCAGGGGTCTGTCAGTCCTAAATTAAGAGTCTAGTAGGCAAATAAAGTCTAAAGCAAAATAATAAAAATACTTTGAAAAACACACAGAAGAAATAGATATGCGTCTGGGGGTGTGTGTGCATTTTAATGTTTTCCACTGGGGCTCCTGGGAAGCAAGAATGGCCAGAGTTTGTCTCACCTACTTTGGCCATGTTGTCAGAAGGGACCATTCCCTGGAGAAGGATGTCATGCTTGGTAGAGTGGAGTCGACTCTGACTCAGACTGACCCTGCGCACAACAGAACAAAACACTGCCCAGTCCTGTGCTATCCTCATAGTCACTGCCACGTTTGTGCCCATGGTTCCAGCCACCGAGTCACTCCATCTCGTCAAGGGTCTTCCTCTTTTTCACTGACCCTCCACTTTACAAGCATTGATTGGCAGAGTCAAGAGCGTTGGAATACTACCTTGAGCAGGGCAGAGGCCGGGCCAAGGGTCAGAGAGAGACCTGTTTGCAGGCACAGCTGGGAAAAGGCTGTCCTGATCACAGATGTTTCTGATCCTGATTGTAAACCGTTACTTCCCTAATAAACCCTACAATCAGGAGTATGTTATGAAAGTTCTCTGTGGCCATTAAGAAGCCCTGGTAGTGTAGTGGGTAAGGCAGTTGGCTGTTAACCAGAAGGGTGGCAGTTCCAACCCATCAGCCACTCCCTGGAAGAAAGATGAGGCAATTTATTTCCGTAAAGTTTTACTGCCTTGGAAACCCAATGGAGGTGGCTGTGAGTCAGAAT